TATTTAGAAAACCTTATTCTGGTATCATTTCTATTGGGTTCTTACTCATGATTTGAATTATAGCTTCCTCTCTAAGTCTTTATGCTATTTTACTATTCATTTTAAGTAATTTGAAGTAGCATCTACATAACAACCGAAACTGCTCGGAATCCCAAATTCATTAACATCTTGGTGTCTTAAGATACTAGCTCACTTAAATTTCTCCGCCACGATTCCTTGCAATGCCCTATTGAAATTGATTTTCGTTTTTACATGTACAAGAGAATCATGTTGCACGCATGCATGTTTCAATTGTGTATTTTTTTCAAGGGTTTGATCTTGGAAATTTTGTGGTTTACTGAACAGAAATTCTCTACACAATCTTTTTTCTGGTGTTATAACTTAGCTATTCTCCATTCATATAACTGCCAACTAGTCCTTCATGGCTCGAAGTGAAGAGTTGAGTCTAATATTTTCTGTGGTACTTTCACTTGAACAGCGGTTATAAACGCGATATATGTGGAGTTTTACTCGTGATTATTTGTGTTCCTCTTCCTCCATTTGCAGTGGTTTTGAATCTCATGTTCAAATTCTTTGCATAATTATGCGGTTTTGACTAGCATATCTTTGAAATTTGACCTCTATTCTTGGAAATAGGTCCTAAGTCGGATATCAGTGCTTGGTTCCGGCTTTTTGGCAGTCCTGGCTGCAGGCCCTGCTGTGGTTGAACAAATCACCCACCTGACTGCATTTCGGGGATTTGCGGGCACATCAGTTCTCATTCTGGTTGGTTGTGCAACGGACACCGCAAGAAAAGTTCAAGCAGAGATAATATCCCAGAAATACAAGAACATAGAGTTTTATGACCTTGACAAGTTTGGTCCATGAAAAAGGATTGAAGAGATGTGACACTCAAGCATGAGGTCTTTCACATGGAAGAATTCATGGTTATGTTTAGATCTTGTCGTGTTGGTTCTTATTTTGTATTTCTTGAATGTCAAATTGTTTGGCATGCAAATTATTAATTTTGTCTTTGTACATAGACCCGCTGCAAAATCACAATGCTCTCCATGTTGGCCAATACAAATTGATTCCTGCTGTTAATTGCAAGATGTTGTTTCTGGTTCAAACCCGTTTCATCCTACGGTGACTAATGCTAGGCGTTGATTACCAACACGAAATTACACGTCCAAGAACTCAAAATCCGGATCTAACGGAAACGCTTATAAACACCTTGAATAGACAAATCATCACGCGGAGAGTGATTATAAGACGTTTGTACGCTCTTTGAGTTTTTGCTCATGGAGTGAATTCTCAACGTTCATTGACAGATCTCGTCGCCCTTGAGAGATTGAAGGACGACTTGCTATGAAGAGCGCAAGCTCAGGCGAGTTGTGCTCATGAAGAATTTGCTCAGTTTAGAAAGAGGATTTGTTCATGAAGAACATACCCACATTGTGTTCTTCCATGCTGCACTAGGGAAGAGCACTTCCATAGCCTATTGCGGGAAGAGCCCTAAAGAGATATGTTTGGTCAAGCCTGGCCGCTTTCCTAGGCTCATTCCCAACACGAGAGAAAATCCCCTCAATACTTGGGCACCAAATTGATTTATTAAATATTATGCACCAAAATATAATCAGGATTGATTATGGTATACTCTAAAAGTTAGGGATCGGAATAGAATTTACCCCTTGGAGACTATTAGTAGAAATAACCTTTTTTAGAAGGTTTCAGATCCTATGACTAATTATTTATCATTATCTAACCAACCATATTATTTCACGTTATTTAATAAAAGTAAGTAAAAGAAAAAAAAATTGATGAACTTACCTTTAAAATACATAAATATGGATATTTATTATTGATTAATGCCTTTTAAAACGTACATAATTATTTGAATAAAAAAGAATATTAATCCAAACTCAAGAATCTCCTTTTCCGGCAAAAAAAAAAAAAAAAACATTTGGGACACGAAAAAATTGATCTAGGGACATATGACGCGAAACCAAACCAAAGTTTACGAGAAAAGCGACATGCCGTTTTTCTTCAAAGAGGACAGCACGGTTACAGTGGCGGGAAAAGTATACAAATGGCGAAATAAAACGACAATTACGTTGAAAGAAAGACCTTGCTCATATTCTTGTAAGAAACTGACCTTGAGTTTGGACGAGCAACGATTATGGCGTCTTCCACAGAATCGAAATCCTTTGCAACTTTCATGGCTTTTGCTCTCGCAGCTTTCTCCGCTTCCACAGCCTTCTCTGGTAATATAATTTTTTTTCACGATTCTGCTTTTTTCCCATTAATTTTCTTGTTAATTGTTCTTGATCAATAATTTTCTGGTTTTGTTGTAAATTAGTGTATTTGTGGCAGAGAAAATCTAGGGTTTTGGACGACAAGATTCTAGAGCTCGAGAAGGCTCTCAAGAATCTCTCTGACAAATGCGTCGCCGAGAGGCAAGGCCGGATTCGGGCTCAGCAGGTTTCTCTCTTCCGTTTGAGTCTTTTTTTTTTTTTTTGGTAGAACGAAAATGGTTGCGAATCTTGAAATTTATCTGATGGAACTAAAATTTATTCAACTTTTTCAGTTTGATTGGCCAAATTTGTTCTTCCGATTTGAGTTCGTAACTTGACTTGCAGATTTTGGATTTTTTTGGCCGAGGAATATGAATGCTTAACCTCAAAAAAAAAAAAAAAGAAAAGATTTTGATCACATAAGATCATCTTCTTGTTTTAGGAAGAATAGATGGCATTTGCAAATCTATACCAAGAGTTTTAGGAAATTAATGGTGACAGTTCGAAATTTAGTGGATTAGTTTCGAAACTTGAAATCAACAGCAAATTGCCTCTCTAATGATCCCGGACCGATCATAATAGGATTTTTGGAACTTCTCTTTTTAATCATGTTATTGGATGCTTGTATTTCTTCAGTCATGTTAATGCTAGTACAACAATGTGTTTTGGGTTTCGCAACATTTCCCTCTGTCTTTGCAGAATTTCCCCCTGATTTGTTCATTTAAATTTGTGTAGGCTTTGAGGAAAGAACTAGCTCAACCAACGGTTGAAAACTCCGAGCTAACTTCTTATCCCATGGCACCTATTGGCGTCATCAAATCGTGCTTTTCTACCAGGTAGCTCAGTTAAAATCATGTGGTTATTGATTTAGAGATTCTTCCTCATTTTTATTTCAGTGTTCCTTTTTTATATGTACGCAACCAAACGATAGAAGTGACAATGGATCTCTTTCCACTCATTAAGCAGAAATTGTGATTTTTTCACATAAATATTCGTTATGAAAAGAAAAAAGAAGTGAAGAAAATTAAATATGTAATTACAGTACTTACCTTCACCAAAAATTTGGATGGAATTAGAGTAAAGTGGAAAGAGTTGTCCTAATTGTCATCGAGGAAATCACCCTTACATAGTTTACTCTGCAATATAGAGAGAGGAAACGTGGAAATGTTTTTGGTCAATTGCTCTTCATATTTCTTGTTATCGACCCATTTTGTGGTACAATGATAATCAAATGGTGAAGTTGTTTAGAAAACTGTGTTAAATACTAGTGTGGAGAAGTTGTAGATCCCGTTCAAGTGTTCCAGACATGAGGTTGGTTAAATGTCTTAAAACATTCTGGTTTGACCGTATTGACTTGATGTTTATGGATGACATACATTTTGTTTTAGGTATAAAATCAGTAATTTGAAATAACCATACATGTAACATTTCTCATTTGATGAAGCACCTTCGAAACCCTTTTTCTTTACCACAAATGGTACCTGACACAAATTTGTTGTACTGCTTTTAGTTGCAATCGAACATTTGGTCAGTCGTACTTCTCTAGCATCCATTTAGAATATCTGCAATATACTTTTTCTCTTTCTGCAGAGTTCTTCTTTTTTTCTATTTTCATTTTAATAAATTCATGTAGCAACATGTTCTACAAGTTACGTCACCCAACTATATTAAAGGTGTATGTTGCTATGCATGAGCAAGTGTTCTTTTGGTGCTTCATTATTGAACTATTAGTTTTCTTTTCCGCAGAAATGGCACACCGAGGCAACCTTTACTTGTACCACTTGCTAAGGCACGCTTGTTCTTTAATTTGTCCCGTGTTCCTCCAGCCTCCCTTGAGGGGCTTCGAGAATATTCTCATTGCTGGGTTATATATGTCTTTCATCTAAATACTGATTTGGAGAAGCTTTGGAAGGATCCAACCAAGTCAAAATTCAAGGCTAAGGTCTGTCCCTCATAGTTGTTGATATATTTCTTAGCCAGACTGCATTTTTCCCAACTTCTTTATTTATGTTATCGGTTAAAACATCTAAAAGAGGTTGGATGAATCAATAGGTAAGAGTGCCAAGATTGAAAGGTGGGAAGATGGGAGTATTTGCAACACGAAGTCCACATCGTCCATGCCCCATTGGGCTCACTGTTGCAAAGGTATACATACGGTTTTTTGGCAATGAGAGCTAGGAAATCTTGGCAGTTTGAACTACAAAATGTGTGATACAATCTCAGCAATAGACTCCACGTGATATAATTATTAATTTCTTTTTTTTTTTTTGGCAACTTTGCAATCTTAAGGAGTTTGACCTCTATCATAGAAATAGAAACAAGGATTCATTTATTGGTTGTATATCTTCGTGGTGGGAGCACAAGCTTCAAGCGGTCTTTGAGGTCTTGCTTTACAGCAACCTGGATAGAGAATGAGAGGACGTTTTAACTTAATGGTGCTAACATGATATACCACATGGACTCATTTCTTTGCCTTTACTCTTGTGTAATATAAATATATCATTTTCTTCATTATTTGAGAGATTTGCTTTTCCTTCCTAAGATATACTGTTTCATCAGTGGTTAACTATCCCTTACCAGTTTAGCATGCATTTCCAAGCTTATGGTTTGAAAAATGCACGTCTAAGTGAGAATTTAGATGTATGCCTATTTAAGAAGTTGAGTTCAACAGAAATTTCTATCTTCTTTTAGATTGAGGCGGTGCAAGGGAATTTGATACTGCTCTCTGGTGTGGATCTGGTGGATGGGACAGTAAGTTCTATTCTTCCTTGCTGGCCACACTATGTTAAAAACATTTGTGTGTGCATGTGTGTCGGTTTCTCTCGTTTGTTGGTTATGACGATTCTATTTGCAGCACCATTCAGAGTGTGACATCTCTCTCCTTGTTTTAATTTTTTCAACAGCCAGTACTTGATATCAAGCCCTATCTCCCATACTGCGATAGCATCCAAGGAGCAACTGTACCCAACTGGCTAATGGTATTTACTTCTATTGCTTTTTAAGCATATTATAACTTTTAGTTCGGACATTTACAAGTCGGTTGCATTTCTCATGACAAGAAACTTGTTTTTCACTGTTAAACTTCAATGTTAAATGCGGAAGTGTGGCTGTGGATTTAAAATTTGTATGGTGGGAATACCAAAGTGCATCAGCTGCTACTATGCAAGAGAGATTCACCTATGCTGGTTGTTTTAAGAATTGATGGGGTATTCATTTATGTCAGGTTTTACAAATGGGTGGCCACAAAATCCTTATAATATATTTGGAGGAAATCTGTGTGTATATTTTAATGTGGATATCCCTCGTGTTGCATTTCCGAAGTATTATGCTAGAGTTTCAAAGACACTATGACTGCCTATGGCATCTTATTTTACATGTAACCTCTCTTGTTAATTTGTATTATTCAACCCATACTTTTGAAACAATCTCTCTTTTTTGCACAGGACGACAATCTATTGGTAGTAGCTTCTGTTAGCTTTTCCAAGGGCTTTTCTTCCACACTTGCCAATTGTTGGGAAAAGGCAGTGAGTACTTTAACGGGCATTATCTAGCATTTGTATTCCTTATATTTTACATTTAGTTTGGAATTCCCTTATAATATTAGCGTTGTTTCTTTGTACTTTAATATAAATCTTTTGCAGATCCTTGCTTCTGAGTTTTATTACCTTTTATCACTCTTTTGAACGGTAGAATATCATGTTTTCAATGTTTCTTGGTGGATAACTTCTTGTCTGAAGTTGAAGCAGCATCTCTTTACTTGCTGACTGAAGACAGAAAAATTGATCCGTTATAATATGATTTTAGCCTCTTATTGGTAGCAAAAAAAAATCGAAATCTGCAAAAAAAAAAAAAAAAATTCTCATAACTTCTCGTATAATCCTCCGTTTTTCTTAGCTATTACAGTAATTGCACATGTTTGCACTAGAAACTTTTTTCCCTGCCATAAGAAAGCACTAACTTTATTGTTTTTTTTTTTGTTTTTTTTTATGAGAAGCAAAATTTTATAATGAACAATTAAAGGACTGATGAAGCTAGGGAGCAAGCAGTCTACTTTGAATTATATAAACTACCATATTTGTTTTTTCTCTTTCATTTCTTCGCTCATAAATCATAATATTAATTTGGTTTGTCCTAGGGAAAGAATTCACTCTACGCTTCACCAGATGAGTTTCAAAGCTTGATAAAGCAAGTGCTTTCCTGGGACATTCGATCAGTGTCTCAACGCAACCGACCTCATGATTCCCTTATCAAGACCGAAAACGGTGAACATTTGGAGAGTGCTTTCGATCCCGACGAGTTTCATGATGAGGAAGTTAGTGACCATGGAAGTGAGCAGCCTAGTCTTTCTTCTGGGGAAGTAGTTTATCACCTAATTTTGGAAGGCTTGGATGTCTCGTACAGAATTGATTTTAATGGCAATGTCGTTGTAGAGAAAGTCTCAATCAGCAACCATCTCGAACAGTAACGAAAACCACTCTAGTTACTTCACATGGAGAATTGTCCTGCTTGAAACTTTCTTACTATGCGATCAAAAGGATTAACTTTCTTTTTCTTTTTTCTTTTTTTTTTCCATCTATCTCCTTTTGTTTGTTTGTTTTGTGTTTTGTGTTTTTTTTTCTTTTTTGAGGAATTGTTTTTATACATTGCTAAAATAGTGCATTAGATACTCCTAGTCCTTAAATTTTGTGTATGGTAACATGTTGGTTCTTGAGCTTTTAATTTTAATATATTAATCGGTGAATTTTTGTTTTTAGTTTTGGTCATTAAAAATACAATTGACGATGAATTTTTATAGTACTATTTATGTAAAATTTTCAATTATTATACCATAAGAATGTGATTATTTACGCTAATTTCAATAATTATTTTATCAATTTTAGTATCAACGATTAAAATTGTTAAAAAAGAACGTTAGGAAGCTGATATGTTGAAATTAAAAAATTTATGTATATTTTTTAACGCCATAGAGCTTTATTTACATTATTATTCTTAATGCTTACATGATTATTGTTCATGCGCTATCTTTTCTTGGATTCTGGGAGGAAGGACTATTTTTGTGGGTAAATTTGACACGTTCCAATACTAATCATAAAGCCCTTTAATTATACATATGAAGCGTTCATAATAGAAGATATAATGTAAAGGACAGTATAAATCATTCGCTCACAAATATTGGTAAATAAAATTGGGCAGTTTAGCTTGATAAGATTCCATTAGAATTCGAATTTGTTACCGTAAAAATTTTTAGAAACAGTCATATTTAATTTTTTTACTATAATAAAAAAATTTTATATAAAGTCGCATCTTAATTCAAATTAAAAACTCGAATTAACGAACTAAACGGGCCATAATTCTACGTCGACTTTGACGTCTCCAACTTTGTAGCCCACAAAAACAGACGATTTAGGTTTGTTACGGTAAAAGTTTTTAGAAACAGTCATATTCAATTTTTTTACTATAATAAAAAAATTTTATATAAAGTCGCATCTTAATTTAAATTAAAAACTCGAATTAACGAACTAAACGGGCCATAATTCTAAGTCGACTTTGACGTCTCCAACTTTGTAGCCCACAAAAACAGACGATTTAGAATAACACAAGAAAAAGAGAAATATATCTGTAAAAGAGAGGAATGCTTGGAAGAGAGCAAGAATTCTAATCCCAATCCGAGAATCTGCTAAAATCAATCCCTACAACCGGATACTTTTCGTTGGATTGGGAGACTTTTGGCTTGTTTAGTAGTGTTTTTAAAATGTTTTTGTTTTGAGTATGAAAATAAAAATAAAAATGAGAAGCTTAATAAAAATTCTAAGGATCCATTTGGTAATGTTTTTAAAATGATTTTACTTTTAGTGCAAAGTAAAAATAAGATTGTTTTGAGAATCATTCTGAGACCGATTCTGAAATTGCGTTTGATTGATTTTTTAAGAAATTATTTTGAGTATAATAAAAAAATAAAATCGTATTTAGTTATAATTATTAATTAATATAATATAACATCGTTGATAAAGACTAGAACATGAAGACAAAAAAGGAAAAATAACTTTTAACCGTTGTTTAATTTCTTCACAAAAACTATTCTCATTGGGCCTGTTTGTTTGTGTTTTCATTTTCATTTTTCACGGTTTTCAAAGTAAAAAAATGAAAACGGGTGTTAAAAACTTGTTTGGTGCAAATTTTTTTAAAAAACAAAACCAAAAACGTTTTTGTCTTTTTGTGGAAATCAGAAAACGAAAAAAATGTGTTTTCATTTTCTTGTTTTCGTTTTCTGTTTTCTGAAAACGGATTTCACTTTTTTTTTTTTCATTTTCTTCCCTCTTTTCTGAAACCGTTTTTGTATTACATATGTTTATTTAATATATTATATATTATTATTTAATATATTATTACATGTTTTCAAAAATTAAACCACCAAACGCAGTTTCAGTTTTTTTTAAAACTACCAAACGCATTTTCAGAAATAATTCAAAAATGAAACTAAAAACGTTTTTATTTTCATTTTCGTATAGAAAACAAAAACGTTTTGGAATCAATTCCAAACACACCCATTGTTTTTTATTTTCGTTTTCGTTTTCAAAACATTTGCTAAACAAACAGAGTTTGCAAACTATTTTCATTTTCTTGCTTCAAAAGACGGAAAAAAACGTTTAAAAAAAATCAATTACAAACGCACTCTAATATTTTCATTTTCTTTTTTGTTTTTAATTTTATTTTTAAAGTAATCGCTAATTTAGAAACCAATTTCGTTTTTTACCTCAAAAGACATGTAAAGTGTTTTCAAAGACCAGCAAAACCAATTCCAAACCACTGCCTTTAATTTGTCACCGATTAGAAACTTTTGATGTGTCCCCACTACATTGTACCTATCACCATTAATTATCCAATCCAGTACATTTAACATATCCTACTTCTAAGTTTAACAAAATACTTGAGGCTGCTGCTGATGTTTGGCAATAGTTATGGTTTTAATTTTTTATTTTTTTTTATTTTTTTTAATATGGTGTAATGTTGTAATTATATATATTTTTTAGTATAGTTGTGTTTAATTATATTTTTATATTTTTAACTTTTTTAACTTTTCCTTTTTATCTTTAGATTCCTGTTTTTGTATGGAATGTGCGAGTTTCATGTGTAATTTTTATTTTTGATATTTTTTTTGGGCCCAATGAGGATATAATTTAATGAAATCGTTCTGTTGATTTTGAGAATTCTGAAAATAATCTATTTAGATTCTTTTCTAGCACCATAAATAGTAGACAAAAAGTATTTTTTTAATGAACATATAAATAATTTGGTAGATTATGATGAATAATTTAGTAAATTATGAAAATAATCAAAACGGATTATTAAAAATAATCAGCCACCGGCGACTGGCGATCGGTGACTGATGCCGGAGCTGTAGAGAACTTATCATTTTTAGTTGAAAATAGAAAAATAAATTTACATATTATAAACAGAATCTATCAACTTATAATTGTCGCAGGTGACATGAGATCAGTGACTGGAGACTGGTGACTGGCGTAATCTGACAGATTATGAATTATAATTTGACAGATTATGACCAGCGCCAGTGATTGAAGACTCGCTGGTGGCAGTAATTTGGCAGATTATGAACATAATCTGTCAAATTACGGTCGTCTGTGGCAGCTGAAAACCCAATGACGGTGGCCAGAGATTGTCTCCGGCGATGGTTGGTAAATTCCTAGTGGTAATCTACTTTTTGACCATTATGGGTAACTTTAGTATTAGACATGTAGGGCTTTGACTTGTTTTAATCCAAAGGGGAAAATTTTAAGAAGTAATTACATGAAATGCCTACTATTGGAGTTGTATTTATAAAAATATTGACTATTTTACAATATTACAAAAATGCCGATTTCATTTTTATAAGGCATATTTTTTCCCAGAATTATCCTTATTGAGTATTTTAAGCATGTTACTTATATGGTTAGTTTTGTTTTTTGTAGTCTAATTTTTATCATTATAATTTAGATATTTATTTGCCTATTTTAACCGGATCTGATTTTTTTTGTATTCAGTAATTTTGAATTTATTCTGATTTTTTTTTTTTTCATGGTTTATGCCTTTCCCTCTTCTTTTCATTTTTGAATTCGTGTGACTATTTTTTTTCACGATTTTTTGTTCTCTGGCATATATTTCTTCTTTGGCGTTCATCATTTGTGAGATTAGACAAAAGGAAAGGTTTTTGACGCTCATCGTTTGTGAGATCAGACAAAGGGGAGGTTTGTTATGTATATTTGTTTCTCATCATTTTTGCTTTTCTCAGATCGTGTTTATTTTATTGTTTGTCTATATTGTTGTTTTTGTATTCTTTTAGTTTCCTTTTGTTCCCCATTTCGTGTATTGCATTCTTCGTTCATATCTATGATTTTATTTTTTTTTTCCATGTGAAGATATGTGCTCTTGAATCTCTGTTATTTTTTATTATATTTTGTCTTCACACGTGTTCTTGAATCTCTGTTATTTTTTATTCTATTTTGTCTTCACATGTGTTCTTGAATCTCTATTATTTTTTTTTATTTCTTTTGTGAATGAATTTTATTTTGACAATTCTCAGAGTTTTAAAATGTTAAAATTTGTAGTTTTTTCTTTACTGGAATTTGCATTTCATTATGATATGATGATTATTCTAGCTTTTTTTTTTTATACATTTGTGTGTGTGTGTGTGTGTGTGTTTTTTTTTTTTTTTTTTGACAACTCTTATAGTTACAAAATGTTAAATTTTGAGTTTTTTCTTTAATAGAATTTTGTATTTCATTATGATATGATCATTATTCTAGTGAAAATTTCTTTCCTTTCACTTAAAATTACAGTTTATTTTTTATTTTCCTTATGCGAGTTATTTCGAACTTCATTTTCATTCTTTTTTTGTAATTCATCACTGTATTAATGAAACAATTTCACATGTGTTCATAAGTCCGTCTTTGTTAATAGTTCGATACATCTTGTAATTTTTTTCCCTTGTATCATATATTCTGTGTCATAATTATTAGTCATATATTATTCTGTGTCATAATTATTAGTCATATATTATTCTGTGTCATAATTATTAGTCATATATTATTCTGTGTCATAATTATTAGTCATATATTATTCTGTGTCATAATTATTAGTCATATATTCTATAACATAATGATTTTATCATTAAACTAATTAAAAAATATTTAGTTTTATATATTTATATGAATTAGTCATATAGTCTGTATCATAATGATTTTATCATTAATCTAATGAAAGTAATATTTGGTTTTGTAATTCCCAGATCATGGGAACAATTTCGCATGTTCATGATTTCATCTTTGTTGGTAGTTTGATACATCTTATATTTTTTTTATTGCTTTGTATCATATATTTTGTATAACTATTATTCATATATGTTGTATCATAATGACTTTATCATTAGTTAATAATAAATTAGGTTTTGCATAATTCTATGTATTATTCATATATTTTGTATTATACTGATTTTATCATTAAATCAAATGAAAATAATTTGTTTTTTTATATTTTCGTGTTTTATATGTACTTTAAATGAGGTCCAGAAAGCTTTGAAATTGTTAACTATAAAGAGG